TCTGTACCAGAGGAGCTTACACTCTAATGTCCCCTCCCCCCCACAGTCACATCAGTCTCTGTACCAGAGGAGCTTACACTGTAATGTCCCCTCCCCCACAGTTGCACACTATTATTATTATACATGTATGTAGCTCTGACATATACCGTGGTGGTGGACCGTTTTGTATGATGAATCCTCACTGGTGTCATTGCCTCCTCTATGGAGTCATGGGAAGGGTCGGGGTGATTCATTAAAGGGGCAGAATCCACTGAATTCAATCATGAATAATGCTGGTAGTAATATCTGTGTAAAGTCACGTTTAAAATGCAACTTTTTCAGCATTTCTGCATTAGCGTTTAGCTGCATTTTTCCACGTTTGCGATTTTGAGTGTTTTTTTAAACTTTTTTTTGCTTAAAAAAAGTCCAAAAAAAATGCTGGTTTGCCGCGCTTTTCAGCGTTAGAGCGTTTTTACAGCTAAAACACACTCCTCCAGATGGGGGGGGGGGAGGGGTTACTGGCTGGAGAAACAAATGCCAAAAGCAGCCGCTGTAAAAATGTCCCGTGTGCATGAGGACTAACATGATGAGAACTCTCTACTATGTATACATAAAAAAGAAACAATGTAACCCATAACATACCTCTTGTATACAGAAGAGGAAACAATGTAACCCATAACATACCTCGTGTGTACAGAAGAGGGTACAATGTAACCCATAACATACCTGGTGTGTACAGAAGAGGAAACAATGTAACCCATAAACACACCTTGTGTGTACAGAAGAGGGTACAATGTAACCCATAACATACCTCGTGTGTACAGAAGAGGGTACAATGTAACCCATAACATACCTCGTGTGTACAGAAGAGGGTACAATGTAACCCATAACATACCTTGTGTATACAGAAGAGGTACAATGTAACCCATAACATACCTTGTGTGTACAGAAGAGGGTACAATGTAACCCATAACATACCTCGTGTGTACAGAAGAGGAAACAATGTAACCCATAACATACCTTGTGTGTACAGAAGAGGGTACAATGTAACCCATAACATACCTTGTGTGTACAGAAGAGGGTACAATGTAACCCATAACATACCTTGTGTGTACAGGAGAGGGTACAATGTAACCCATAACATACCTTGTGTGTACAGAAGAGGAAACAATGTAACCCATAACATACCTTGTGTGTACAAAAGAGGTACAATGTAACCCATAACATACCTTGTGTGTACAGAAGAGGAAACAATGTAACCCATAACACACCTTGTGTGTACAGAAGAGGAAACAATGTAACCCATAATATACCTTGTGTGTACAGACGGTGCAATGTAACCCATAACACACCTTGTGTGTACAGAAGAGGGTACAATGTAACCCATAACATACCTTGTGTGTACAGGAGAGGGTACAATGTAACCCATAACATACCTTGTGTGTACAGAAGAGGAAACAATGTAACCCATAACATACCTCGTGTATACAGAAGAGGGTACAATGTAACCCATAACATACCTTGTGTGTACAGAAGAGGAAACAATGTAACCCATAACATACCTCGTGTATACAGAAGAGGGTACAATGTAACCCATAACATACCTCGTGTGTACAGAAGAGGGTACAATGTAACCCATAATATACCTTGTGTGTACAGAAGAGGGTACAATGTAACCCATAACATACCTCGTGTGTACAGAAGAGGGTACAATGTAACCCATAACATACCTCGTGTGTACAGAAGAGGGTACAATGTAACCCATAACATACCCTTGTGTGTACAGAAGAGGGTGCAATGTAACCCATAACATACCTCGTGTGTACAGAAGAGGGTACAATGTAACCCATAACATACCTTGTGTGTACAGAAGAGGGTACAATGTAACCCATAACATACCTTGTGTATACAGAAGAGGGTACAATGTAACCCATAACATACCTCGTGTGTACAGAAGAGGGTACAATGTAACCCATAACATACCTTGTGTGTACAGAAGAGGAAACAATGTAACCCATAACACACCTTGTGTGTACAGAAGAGGAAACAATGTAACCCATAATATACCTTGTGTGTACAGAATAGGTGCAATGTAACCCATAACACACCTTGTGTGTACAGAAGAGGGTACAATGTAACCCATAACATACCTTGTGTGTACAGGAGAGGGTACAATGTAACCCATAACATACCTCGTGTGTACAGAAGAGGGTGCGATGTAACCCATAACATACCTTGTGTGTACAGAAGAGGGTACAATGTAACCCATAACATACCTCGTGTGTACAGAAGAGGGTACAATGTAACCCATAACATACCTCGTGTGTACAGAAGAGGGTACAATGTAACCCATAACATACCTCGTGTACAGAAGAGGGTGCAATGTAACCCATAACATACCTTGTGTATACAGAAGAGGGTGCAATGTAACCCATAACATACCTCGTGTGTACAGAAGAGGGTACAATGTAACCCATAACATACCTCGTGTGTACAGAAGAGGGTACAATGTAACCCATAACATACCTCGTGTGTACAGAAGAGGGTACAATGTAACCCATAACATACCTTGTGTGTACAGGAGAGGGTACAATGTAACCCATAACATACCTTGTGTGTACATAGTAACAAAATTAACCTCTGCAGCAAAGTACACAATGACCCCATATGACTGTATAGGGGGGGTCACATGGAAGGGGTGGATGGTGTGTATGGAGGGAGGACATGGATTCTACATTGTATATTAAATGACTGTGTGCTGTGTGTATATAGAGTGTATATGGGGTATGTGTACATTGTATATGGGGTGTGTATGGGGTATGTGTACATTGTATATGGGGTATGTGTACATTGTATATGGGGTGTATATACATTGTATATGGAGTGTATATGGGGTATGTGTACATTGTATATGGGGTATGTGTACATTGTATATAGGAGTGTATATGGGGTGTGTGTACATTGTATATGGGGTGTATATGGGGTATGTGTACATTGTATATAGGGTGTAAATGGGGTATGTGTACATTGTATATGGGGTGTGTGTACATTGTATATGGGGTATGTGTACATTGTATATGGGGTGTGTGTACATTGTATATGGGGTGTGTGTACATTGTATATGGGGTGTATATGGGGTATGTGTACATTGTATATGGGGTGTGTGTGCATTGTATATGGGGTGTATATGGGGTGTATATGGGGTTTGTGTACATTGTATATTAGGAGTATATATGGGGTATGTGTACATTGTATATGGGGTATGTGTACATTGTATATAGGAGTGTATATGGGGTATGTGTACATTGTATATAGTGGGTGTATATGGGGTGTGTGTACATTGTATATAGGGGTATATATGGGGTATGTGTACATTGTATATGGGTGTATATGGGGTATGTGTACATTGTATATAGGAGTGTATACGGGGTGTGTGTACATTGTATATGGGGTGTGTGTACATTGTATATGGGGTGTATACGGGGTGTGTGTACATTGTATATGGGGTATGTGTACATTGTATATGGGGTGTGTGTACATTGTATATATAGGGTGTATACGGGGTGTGTGTACATTGTATATAGTGGGTGTATATGGGGTGTGTGTACATTGTATATGGGGTGTATACATTGTATATGGGGTGTATATGGGGTGTGTGTACATTGTATATGGGGTGTATATGGGGTGTGTGTACATTGTATATGGGGTATGTGTACATTGTATATAGGAGTGTATATGGGGTGTGTGTACATTGTATATGGGGTGTATATGGGGTGTGTGTACATTGTATATGGGGTGTGTGTACATTGTATATGGGGTGTGTGTACATTGTATATGGGGTGTGTGTACATTGTATATGGGGTGTATATGGGTGTGTTTGTACATTGTATATGGGGTGTGTGTACATTGTATATGGGGTGTATATGGGGTGTGTGTACATTGTATATGGGGTATGTGTACATTGTATATAGGAGTGTATATGGGGTGTGTGTACATTGTATATGGGGTGTATATGGGGTGTGTGTACATTGTATATGGGGTATGTGTACATTGTATATGGGGTGTGTGTACATTGTATATGGGGTGTGTGTACATTGTATATGGGGTGTGTGTACATTGTATATGGGGTGTATATGGTGTGTGTGTACATTGTATATGGGGTGTGTGTACATTGTATATGGGGTGTGTGTATATTGTATATAGTGGGTGTATATGGGGTATGTGTACATTGTATATGGGGTGTATACGGGGTGTGTGTACATTGTATATGGGGTGTATATGGGGTGTGTGTACATTGTGTAGGGGGAGTCCATGCCATGCAGCGTGCATTGTGTCGGTAGTGCAGGCGGAGGCACCACCCCCTGTATTGCTGCTCTCAGTCTCTGGAGGGCTGTACAGCCTCTCCCAGCAGCAGCTCCGACACTCACTTCTCCTATCCAGAGAGAGACCCGCTCACCCTGATCCCCGATCCCCGATCATAGGGTCACCCCGTCCCTGCAAACTTTACTACCCGACCATGCTGTCTGCACACCCGGATCTCCAGCTGTACACCCCACTCTGAGGACACCCGGATCTCCAGCTGTACACCCCACTCTGAGGACACCCGGATCTCCAGCTGTACACCCCACTCTGAGGACACCCGGATCTCCAGCTGTACACCCCACTCTGAGGACACCCGGATCTCCAGCTGTACACCCCACTCTGAGGACACCCGGATCTCCAGCTGTACACCCCACTCTGAGGACACCCGGATCTCCAGCTGTACACCCCACTCTGAGGACACCCGGATCTCCAGCTGTACACCCCACTCTGAGGACACCCGGGTCTCCAGCTGTACACCCCACTCTGAGGACACCCGGTCTCCAGGTGTACACCCCACCGGATCTCCAGCTGTGCACCCCCACTCTGAGGACACCCGGGTCTCCAGGTGTACACCCCACCGGATCTCCAGCTGTACATCCCACTCTGAGGACACCCGGGTCTCCAGCTGTACACCCCACTCTGAGGACACCCGGATCCCCAGCTTTACACCCCACTCTGAGGACACCCGGGTCTACAGCTGTACACCCCACTCTGAGGACACCCGGGTCTCCAGTTGTACACCCCACTCTGAGGATACCCAGATCTAAAGCTATACACTCCAGTTTCTGGACACCCAGATTTATAGCTGTGCACCCCCAGTCTGTGGACACTCTAACCCCCACCTGTACACCCAGATCTAAAGCTGTACACTCCAATTTGAGGACACCAGGATCTGTTGCTCTGTACCCCGTTCTGAGGACACCCTGATCTCCAGTTGTACATCCCACCTTGAGGACACCCGGATCTCCATCTCTACAACCCATTCTGAGGTCTCCCAGATCTCCAGCTCTACACCCCACTCTGAGGACACCCAGATATGCAGCTGTACACCCCACTCTGAGGACACCAGGATCTGTTCTACACCCCATTCTGAGGACACCCAGATCTCCAACTGTACAACCCCATTCTGAGGACACCTGGATTTGCTGCTCTACATCTCCAGCCCATTTTGTAGAACCTGAGAAATGGTGAACACTTGGATTTATTCCTGAGCACCAACATTGTGACCACCACCCTCATCAATGATGAACCGTGAGACTTCGACCCCCCATTTATGAGTAGAACTAGCACTGTGGGGGCAGAGATTGTGACCCCATCTCTGAGGAACCCCTGGCACTGGGGCACCAAAATTTTGACAGCTATCTTCCAGGATTTTGGGGGGGATCTGAAGTGTGAAGGGCTTTTTCTAAGAAGCCTAGGAGGTAAGGGGCACCAGGGTTGGAATAACCCTCCTTGAGGGACCTCCACACAATGCAGCTACAGATCTGCCCCTTGCAGAAGAGCACCCCTTGTGGTGGAGGGCAACAGTGATAGACATGGAGGGGCATGGAGGCAGTGTTGTGGAGAGCAGTAACAAGGATGCGGAGAAGCAGCTGAGGCTTCGGCTTTGTGTGCTGAATGAGATCCTGAACACTGAGAGGGACTATGTGGGGACTCTACACTTTCTTCAGTCTGTAAGTACCTCTATGTGCTGTCCAGAGGGGGTCTGAGTGTCATAATATCCATGTCCTATACATGGAAGGGGGTGCGGGGGATGAAATGTCAATGAAGTTTAGGTGTTTATCAGGGTTGTCCTTATGAGGGACAGGTATGGGGAGGACTTTTCCACATGTAGGAACATTCAGGATTGTGTCTCTTGTGAGTATATTCTCCTCTTCCACCATGGGGCTCATTAGGACATGTCTTCAGGGGTCTGTGTGATGGACGTTAGCCTGGCCTGACCCCTCCAGTAGGTAGAAAGCATTCTGCTCCTGATCATCCGTCTACCTTTCTGCCCCCTCACCTTACATCACCTTTCTGGAGTCCATGACTGGGAGCGTGGGTACCTGCTGGGGGCTCTATATGGAACCTTCTACTCTGATATGGGAAGATCTCAGGTATATCTATGGATTCAATGACTGAAATCCAAATTGTGTGCCAATATCATAGTAGAATCCTGATGGTGTGGTCCAGCCAAGGGGTGCTTCTGAAGGCACAGCTCAGCTGATGGGTGCTTCTGAGTTTGTGGCCCTTCTGAGGTATGCTCCCAGGTCCTGTGTACATAACCCAGTGAAGGTGTGCTGTTGAGCAGGTGGCCCAGTTACAGGGTGCTCCTGAGGATGCAGCTTAGCTGAGTGGTGCTCCTGAGTGCTTGGTCCTGCCGTGGTGAGGGGTGCTCCTGATCAAGTAGCCTTGGTGAGGGGTGCTCCTGAGTGCATGGGCCTGCCGAGGGGTGCTCCTGAGTGCGTGGGTCTTCTGAGGGGTGCTTCTGTGGCCCTGCCGAGGGGTGCTTCTGTGGCCCTGCCGAGGGGGAGCTTTTGAGTCTTTGGCCCTGCCAAGTGATGCTTCTGAGTTTGTGGACCTGGTGAGGAGTCCTCCTGAGTGCATGGACCTGGTGAGGGGTCCTCCTGAGTGCGTGGACCTGGTGAGGGGTCCTCCTGAGTGCGTGGACCTGGTGAGGGGTCCTCCTGAGTGCGTGGACCTGGTGAGGGGTCCTCCTGAGTGCGTGGACCTGGTGAGGGGTCCTCCTGAGTGCGTGGACCTGGTGAGGGGTCTTCCTGAGTGCGTGGACCTGGTGAGGGGTCTTCCTGAGTGCGTGGACCTGGTGAGGGGTCTTCCTGAGTGCGTGGACCTGGTGAGGGGTCTTCCTGAGTGCGTGGACCTGGTGAGGGGTCTTCCTGAGTGCGTGGACCTGGTGAGGGGCGCTCCTGAGTGCGTGGCCCTGGTGAGGGACGCTCCTGAGTGCGTGGCCCTGGTGAGGGCCCTTCTATGTGTGTGGCCCTGGTGAGGGGCCCCCCTGATCACTTGGTCCCACTGTGGGAAGCTCCTGAGTGTGAGTGGCCCTGCCGATGGGTGCTTCTGTGGCCCTGCCAAGGGATGCTTCTGTGTCTGTGGCCCTGCTGAGGGGTGCTTCTGTGGGCCCTGCCAATGGGTGCTTCTGTGGCCCTGCTGAGGGGTGCTTCTGTGTCTGTGGCCCTGCCGAGGGATGCTTCTGTGTCTGTGGCCCTGCCGAGGGGATGCTTCTGTCTGTGGCCCTGCCGAGGGATGCTTCTGTGGCCCTGCCGAGGGATGCTTCTGTGTCTGTGGCCCTGCCGAGGGATGCTTCTGTGTCTGTGGCCCTGAGTGTGTGGCCCCTGTCGAGGGGATATCTGAGTGCGTGGTCCAGAGGAGGGATGCTCCTGAATACGTAACCCAGCTGAAGGCTGCTTCTGAGCACTCCAGCCGAAAGGTCCTCCAAAGTGGGCATCCCCGCCAGCGTCCCTCTAGGTGTGTGGAACATTGGGAGGGGATTCCTGATTGGGAATATGTGCTCCTTCTGGGACATCCCCTGGTATCTGACCTGCTGGGGTTATGTGAGGAGAGGCCGTGATTGGCGGATTGTGTATGAAGAGCTTTCTCTCTATAACGGGATTATCCCGACACAACACACGCTACACGCTACACGCTCCATCCGTCAGATTACACTCCATTCTCTCCATAATCCGTCACTTTGGGGGTCCCCGCCCCCGCACGGGGCTGCATTAACCTCACAAGCCGGGAACGGTGGTATGATGGAGGGTCTTATAGCTCATCGATCGAATATTCAATGCGGTTATTTCTAGGTGGCGAGTGCGCTGATTTATAACAACCAATCAGCAATTTGCTCTCATTACCCTGATGACTCCCATTGTCTGTAGTTTGGTTGTCGTGTTTTATACGTTGTCACCGCTCTGTTCCCCGGATTACACCATGAGAGCCCAATGAAGGCTTCAGGTGGCTTCTGTGTTTAGCTCGTTCTTCGCTGGCGCATGTACCATGCCGGCTGGAGACGCCATTATCGGACAGCAGGATTGGTGGAGTTCAGTGTCAACATTCCGCTGGTCCATGTGGCACAGAACTTCCTATAAGGAATGTGTGGCTTCCGGGCTGGGTTTCCTCCTGCAGGAGGTAAACGGAGTGATTTGCTCAGAGTGTCTTCATGAATGACTGGCAGTTGGATGTATTGGACAAGCGTGTCAAACTGGCCAATTTTAGGACTTTTGTGTCCCTCTCACTCTTCCCAAAGCCCTCAACCACCTTATTAATTCTAGCAGAATACGGCCTCAGAACCTCTCTTAGCCTTCCTGTCGTGGGTCAGAAGAGGGGTTCTTCTAACAGAAGTTTTCAGTGGCTCAGCTGAGGGTTGCTCCAGGGTAGATGGCTTATCCAAGGGTGCTCCTGGGTAGATGGCCCATCCAAGGCTGCTCCTGGGTAGATGGCCCATCCAAGAGTGCTCCTGGGTAGATGGCCCATCCAAGAGTGCTGCTGGGTAGATGGCCCATCCAAGGGTGCTCCTGGGTAGATGGCTCATCCAAGGGTGCTCCTGGGTAGATGGCCCATCCAAGGGTGCTCCTGGGTAGATGGCTCATCCAAGGGTGCTCCTGGGTAGATGGCCCATCCAAGGGTGCTGCTGGGTAGATGGCTCATCCAAGGGTGCTCCTGGGTAGATGGCCCATCCAAGGGTGCTGCTGGGTAGATGGCCCATCCAAGAGTGCTCCTGGTTAGATGGCCCATCCAAGGGTGCTCCTGGGTAGATGGCCCATCCAAGGGTGCTCCTGGGTAGATGGCCCATCCAAGAGTGCTCCTGGGTAGATGGCTCATCCAAGGGTGCTGCTGGGTAGATGGCCCATCCAAGGGTGCTCCTGGGTAGATGGCTCATCCAAGGGTGCTCCTGGGTAGGTGGCCCATCCAAGGGTGCTCCTGGGTAGATGGCTCATCCAAGGGTGCTGCTGGGTAGATGGCCCATCCAAGAGTGCTCCTGGGTAGATGGCCCATCCAAGAGTGCTCCTGGGTTGATGGCCCATCCAAGAGTGCTCCTGGGTAGATGGCCCATCCAAGAGTGTTCCTGGGTAGATGGCCCATCCAAGAGTGTTCCTGGGTAGATGGCCCATCCAAGGTGCTCCTGGGTAGATGGCCCATCCAAGGGTGCTCCTGGGTAGGTGGCCCATCCAAGGGTGCTCCTGGGTAGGTGGCCCATCCAAGGGTGCTCCTGGGTAGGTGGCCCATCCAAGGGTGCTCCTGGGTAGGTGGCCCATCCAAGGGTGCTCCTGGGTAGGTGGCCCATCCAAGGGTGCTCCTGGGTAGGTGGCCCATCCAAGGGTGCTCCTGGGTAGGTGGCCCATCCAAGGGTGCTCCTGGGTAGGTGGCCCATCCAAGGGTGCTCCTGGGTAGGTGGCCCATCCAAGGGTGCTCCTGGGTAGGTGGCCCATCCAAGGGTGCTCCTGGGTAGGTGGCCCATCCAAGGGTGCTCCTGGGTAGGTGGCCCATCCAAGGGTGCTCCTGGGTAGGTGGCCCATCCAAGGGTGCTCCTGGGTAGGTGGCCCATCCAAGGGTGCTCCTGGGTAGGTGGCCCATCCAAGGGTGCTCCTGGGTAGGTGGCCCATCCAAGGGTGCTCCTGGGTAGGTGGCCCATCCAAGGGTGCTCCTGGGTAGGTGGCCCATCCAAGGGTGCTCCTGGGTAGGTGGCCCATCCAAGGGTGCTCCTGGGTAGGTGGCCCATCCAAGGGTGCTCCTGGGTAGGTGGCCCTGCCAAGGGGTGCTCCTCAGTGCGTGACCATGGGACAGGGGTGCCCCTCAGTGCTTGGCCGTGGCAAGGGGTGCTCTTGAGTGCATGGCCATGACTGCTCCTCAGTGCATGACTGGGGCTGGGGTGTTCTGAGGTGTGGCTGTGGTCAGCTGTGAGAGTGTGGCTGTGCCTGTGCTCCTGAGGCATGGCTGTGCTCCTGTGCTCCTCAGTGCATGGCCTGTGGTCAGCTGTGCTCCTCAGTGCATGTGTGGTCAGCTGTGCTCCTCAGTGCGTGGCCATGGTCAGCTGTGCTCCTCAGTGCGTGGCCATGGCCAGGGGTGCTCCTGAGTGCATGACTGTGGCCAGCTGTACCCCTCAGTGCGTGGCT